GCCTCACAATTACTCGGTGTTCTGGGTAAACCAGACACAAAATCCATCGATATACTATCCCATATCCACTCAAGAATAGATAACGATTGCATCAAACCCAATGGTTTCTAATGTTCGATCTTCGACTTCTAACAAGTCAAACAAGAATACACAAACTCTGGAATTTGTTTCTTCATACTAGGCCACCAAAATATTTTTCTCAAATCCTGATACATCTTAGTAGCATCCAGATGAAAATTCAATCCACTACGATACCCTTCCTCAAGAATACTCTTTTTCAGCTCAGCTATATCAAGATCACAATCTTTATCATGACATCTCATAATAACATTTTCATCAATCCGAAAATCACCACCTCGACCTTGATTGATCAAAGTCAATCGATCTACCAAACTCAAATCAGATTTCTAACCTTCCCGAATCTCATCAAGAATACCACTAGTAAGATTTAGCATACCAAGCTTAATTCCATGAGAAGTCTCTTCACAAACCAAACTCATACCTCGAAATTGGTTAATCATCTCTAACTCTTTTACCATCATCATCATCATCATCATATGCAAAGATTTTCTACACAATGCATCAACTACTACGTTTTCTTTACCCGGATGATAATTCAAACCAAAATCATAATCTTTCAAAAGTTCCAACCATCTCCTCTGCCTCAGATTCAACTTTTTCTGATCAAAGAGATATTTCAAGCTCTTATAATCACTAAAGAATTCAAATCTCTATCCGAATAAATAATGCCTCCAAAGCTTCAATACAAACACAACAACAACCAACTCTAAATCATGTGTCAGATAATTCCTATCATGCACTTTAAGTTTCCTTGAAGCATAAGCTACAACTTGTTGATATTGCATCAATACACCTCCTAAACCCATCAACAAAGCATCACAATACACAACAAACGGTTCTTCCAGATTCAGAAAAATCAAAATAGGAGCTGTCGTCAACCTTCTCCTAAGCTCTTGAAAACTTTCTTCACACTTTGCAATCCAAGCAAAAGTTTGACCCTTCTTAGTCAACTGCATCAATGGAAAAGATAACTTGGCAAATCCTTCAATGAATTTCCGATAATAACCTGCCAAACCAAGAAAACTTCTAATCTCAAAAACTAATTTTAGAGATTCCCACTGCGATACAGCTTCAACCTTCGACGGATCAACTGCAATACCTATACTCGAAATCACATGGCCAAGGAAACTCACTTCCTTCAACCAAAAATCGCACTTAGAAAGTTTAGCATACAAATGCTTCTCTTTCAACATTGATAACATAATTTTCAAATGCTCAGTTGATCCTCTTCACTCTTCGAATATATCAAAATATCATCAATAAACACAACCATAAACTTGTCCAAATATGGATGGAAAATTTTGTTCATGTACTCCATAAATACACCCGATGCATTAGTCACACCAAACGACATCACATAATACTCATAATGACCATACTTGGTTCTAAGAACAGTCTTCTGAATATCTTCAGCCTTCACACGAATCTGATGATACCCAGACCTCAAATCTATCTTATTGAACACACTTGCACTAACCACTGATCCATCAAATCATCAATCCTCGAAAGTGGATACTTATTATTGATAGTCACCTTGTTCAATTGTCTGTAATCCACACAAAGTCTCATAGAACCTTATTTCTTCTTGACCAACAAAACTGGTGCACCCCACGGTGACACACTAGGACGAATGAATCTCTTCTCAAGCAAATCTTTAAGTTGACTCTTCAACTCTTTCAATTCTGATACAGACATATGATATGGAGCCACCGATACCGGACTAGTTCTAGAAACTAAGTCGATCGCAAACTCCACTTCACGTTCCAGCGGCAAATCACTTTTCTCATCAGGAAAAGCTTCCGAAAAACCACAAACAATTGGAAAAACACCAACTGCCCCACTTTCACTAACACTCAAAGTTTCCATTAAAATAAATATCTCAGCACCATCATGCACATATTCATCAAAATAATCTGTAAGCACTTGGCTTAACTGCAAACAATTCACTGCACACACCATCTAAGCTCGCAAGATAAGTTTGTTTCATCCAACATGATCCTGTCTACTATCAATAAGAGATTAAAGATGATCAGTTCCTCAATTTGTCAATAGCCAACCGACAATCATGATGGGGCATAAACCATATTTACCAAACTATAATAACGTTCAACGACACATTAAGCCACCACTCTACACTTGAAGCATCTTGGAGAAGTACAAGCTTCTCCCCCACTTATTTCAATCCCACTCCTGCAGACAAAGGTTAGAAAAACAAACGTGTACCAATAGTATTTTCACACACATGTCGCATACTAGGGAACAAAGAGCATTAGACAACCTGGCCAGATGGACCGACCTGCTCTAATACCACTAATGTAACACCCTTCTAAAGCCCGCGAAATATATATAAATAGTTAGAGTAAATTATCATGAATCTCAAATAAGGGTGTCACATATAATTTAAAACATCACACATATACTTGTCATGCTCAATAACACTTAAAATAAACTCATGCTTTTCATATACTTTCACATAGCATGTAGCAGCAGAATTTCTTCAATCATAAATTAACATAATGAAATCCCCACGATCAACTCATTCATAATCATCACATAGGTATAAAAGCTGATACTCCACATAATTCAAATAACAATAACAAAATAAAGTAGAGTACATAAAGTATCTCTCAAAACATAAATTGAAACGTTCCCAGTGTTACATGATCAAAGCACGACTCAATCTAAAATAAATAGAGAAACTAAAACAAGTTACTCCAATGACTACCTCGCGCTAGAAGAAACTCTACTCCTTGGTACCTGAGCGATGTCGTACAAAACATTATTCCAACATAATGGTGAGAATTCACATAATTATCAAAATCATAAGATAGTATATAATTTATGGCATACAAACATAACATAATTATTCTCTCACTCTAAAAGCTTCATCAATATATTATCACTCAAGTGACCATACTATTCACAAGAACATACTCACAATTCCATAATTCATCAAATAATCAATTTCACATATTTCACATAATCTCATATTGCAAACATATACATGATGTGACTCAATGCAAGACTTTAATGCAACTCATGCATGTGGTACCAATTACTTGTTATTATTTTTCGGTTTTTACATTAAACCGGGTCTGTTCCCTAGACCAATAACATACAAATAACCCATTTCCTAAGCTTTCAAACCCCGCTCTAGGTTTGGAACAAGTCACTAGTTCTCACAAAACTAACAAGCATTGTCTCTTAACAACAAATGATGCATGTGCAAGTTCAACAACCATATGCAAATAAGACCATCCCTCAATCATAATATCTATGCATATCTTCAATAAATCAACACACTTGAATTACCACACAATTACACATACTTGCATATTTTTATGAATCATCCAGACACAATTCACTTTCAAATGGTATACAACACATTTTACAATACAACCATAATTGTATTATAATTACAACATGCAATAACTATAATGCATTTCATGTTATCATATACCAAAATATACTTATACAAGCGCGCACACACACACACACACACACACACACACACACACACAAGTATTCGATAAATTATCAACAAATAATTTCACAACCGGCAGCAAACAACACAATAATCCATTAATAGAACATATACACAATTAGCTCCCCAAACATATTAGATATAAAAATATTGGGCAACAAATTCTCTTATCTATTTCTTTGGCTTTAGTTAAATATGATATTTTGGGCTTTTGTGTTTTGATCTTGACTTAGGAAGCAAGCTAAACTAAAACTATAAATAGAGGGAGTAATCCCTATTCTTGCAACAACTTAAATTCATAGAATTTTACAGTTGTAAAGTGAATAAGTTTTTCGCAGTTTATGGACAGAGAGTAATTCTGCATAAATCACCATCTTCTTCAATATTTTTGTCAAACTCTAATTTTTTTCTTCTACAATTTTTCTTTTTTTCATTGTTATTGTGTATCTATAATAATCTTATTAATCAAGATTGATAGAAATTCGTCATAGATTGTGGTAGATTTCGAACAAAAAATCATAATTTTAACAAGACGACACAAATTCATATATTTCATAACGAGATTCAACAACAATCTAAACCCCTACTTGATGTAACAACAAATAACTCTTTGATGCCCAAAAATAACACAAATGCTATAAGTATCACTAAAAGAATAACATTTAGCAATCCTCAAAGTTTTTAACAAAATTTATGAAGATTATCAAAATATGAAAAAAAAATTATATATCAATTAATTTTAAGATTATTTTAAAATTATATATATATATATATATATATATATATATATATATATATATATATATATATATATATATATATATATATATATATATATATATATATATATATATATATATATATATATATATATATATATATATATATATATATATATATATATATATATATATATATATATATATATATATATATATATATATATATATATATATATATATATATATATATATATATATATATATATATATATATATATATATATATATATATATATATATATATATATATATATCATGAAGATGATACAATATATGTTTTTAATGAAAAATCTAATATATAAATAGTACTAAAACAATATGGCATCAATGTTCAACGAATCATGATAAGTTAATAGCAAATATACTTTTAATGAGCAATAAAAGGTAAGACCAACATTTTTTTCAAAGAGAAACTCATATGAGCTAATAGGTCATGTATGAAGTTTAAATTAAAACCAAATGCATCACTTGATGCTAGGAAACCAATAATTCATCTCGATCATCATTCATGCATAGACAAAAACACCATCTCAACTCCACTCCTAATTTAGCGATGTTATAATTAACATGGTCCCTCAAATCCATACCTTATATAAACCCCACTCATCATTCTTCTATTTCAAACCAAAAAACTTGCTCATAACATATCAATCATGTTTAGTACTACAATTTCAAGTGTGTCTTTGGTTTCAACAATATTCACACTTCTGGCTTTAATTGGAGGATATCTTTATAGGCCATTTTGGAGGTTAAGAAAAGTCCCAGGTCCACCTTCTCTTCCACTTGTAGGACACCTTCCATTGTTGGCAAAGTATGGCCCTGATGTCTTCTCAATCCTTGCCAAGCAATATGGCCCAATTTACAGGTTTCTATTGTTTTTTCATACATAAACCTTAAACCTTAAACCTTAAACACATAACTTTGATTTTCATATTGATGATTTTTCTTTTCTCGTTAAATGGTGAAGATTTCATATGGGAAGACAACCTCTTATAATCATAGCAGATGCAGAGCTTTGTAAAGAAGTTGGAATCAAAAAATTCAAAAACCTTTCAAATAGAAGCATTCCCTCTCCTATCTCTGCTTCTCCTCTTCACCAGAAAGGTTTATTCTTCACAAGGTATATATTCAAATTTATGACTTAAAAAGTATAAATAACAAAAACAATAATATGTTTTTAAATCTTAACTAAAATGACAAGCAAATATTGTTAGATTAGATATCATTATAAGAGTCAAGATGGTTTTAATAATTTTAATGCAATGATTTATATTATATAAATCATGATATAACATCATTAGTAGTTTTATATCTGAATCTGAATAATTTTTTTCATACCATATAAAATATATTGCAAGATAAGGTATAAATGAATGTACTTTGTTTGTACAACTTTTTCCTTCAAAAGTCAACATTGCATTTTTCATGTGGATTTCTAGGTGGGGTATCCTAGCCACTAAGTTCAATGCCATCAACTTTTTTAGATCACAACATTATTAAATTAAGATCCTCAAAATCACTCAAATCCAAGGGTTTACCAAAACTTTTGTCCTTTCTCTACACATCACTATGCTTGATGTGCAAAATTTCAACTCACTAATATTTATCCTCCAAATTTAAAATAAGAATTGATTTTTTATGTCACTGTCATTTAGCGCATGTTATTCAAATAACACGACTGATTTGAAATTGTAGAGACTCGCAATGGTCTACGATGAGAAATACTATATTATCTGTATATCAACCATCACACTTAGCCAACTTAGTGCCAAAAATGCAATCAGTTATAGAATCTGCAACACAAAATCTTGACACACAAAAAGAAGACATAATCTTTTCAAATCTTTCCCTACGACTAGCAACTGATATCATTGGAGATGCAGCATTTGGAGTCAACTTTGGTCTCTCTAAGCCTCAATCAATTTGTGAATCAATGAGCAATGTTAACAATGTAGAACATTCAAGTGCTAGTAATGATGAAGTATCAAATTTCATCAATCAACATATTTACTCCACAACACAACTTAAGATGGATTTATCCGGTTCATTCTCGATTATAATTGGCCTAATTGCTCCTATTCTTCAAGAGCCATTTAGGCAGATTCTTAAGAGAATTCCAGGCACTATGGATTGGAAAATGGAATGTACTAATAGAAATCTAACCGGTCGTCTTGATGAGATTGTTAAGAAGAGAATGGAAGATAAGAAACGAAGAACTTCGAAGAATTTCTTGTCGCTGATATTGAATGCAAGAGAATCAAAGAGCGTGTCGGAGAATGTGTTTTCGTTCGATTACATAAGCGCGGCTACTTATGAACATTTACTTGCTGGATCAGCTACAACATCTTTTACTTTGTCATCTATTGTTTATTTGGTTGCTGGTCACATAAATGTTGAGAGAAAATTGCTTCAAGAGATTGATGAGTTTGGAACACATGATAGGATACCTAATGCTAAAGATCTTAATGAAAGTTTTCCTTATCTTGATCAGGTAAGGTGAAAGATGAAGAAATTTTTAAGTTTTTAATGTAGGTGATTAAAGAGGCAATGAGGATTTACACTGTCTCTCCATTGGTTGCAAGAGAAACATCAAATGAAGTAGAGATAGGAGGTTACCTTCTTCCAAAGGTAACACATCTTAGTCCAACAATTTTAGTTCTCTGATCAAGATTAAATAGTTCATATTTCGCATCTGTCTTTCTTTTAAATCGTATTTACCAAAGTTGGTACATGCGCGATACCTTAACCATAATACGCATATGTCTTTATGGAGATATATGTTTTGGTATGTTGATCTTGAATTTTTTTTAGCAATAATTTATTACTAATTTAGTTTTATGTATATGATTAGGGAACATGGGTATGGTTAGCACTTGGAGTTCTAGCAAAAGACTCGAGAAACTTTGCAGAGCCAGAGAAATTCAAACCAGAGAGGTTTGATCCAAAATGTGAAGAAATGAAAAGAAGGCATCCTTATGCATTCATACCATTTGGAATTGGTCCAAGAGCATGTATTGGCCAGAAATTTTCATTGCAAGAGATCAAGCTTACTTTGATTCATTTATATAGAAAATATGTATTTCGCCATTCACTTAGCATGGAAAAACCTATAGAACTTGAATATGGTTTAGTTCTTAATTTCAAGCATGGTGTCAAGCTTAGAGTAATAAAAAGAGCATAATAGTGTTTAAATATGTAAACCAATTAGATTGTATTATTAAGGCAGTTGAAGAATTTGTTATCTTTTCAACATTAAGGTAAAGTATATAATTCAAAACACATGTAAATTAGTCAAATATGTTGTGTTACGTGTCTTCCTTACATTGATCGAAATAGTTTAGAAATATGTTTAAAGTGGTGTGTTGTATTGACCTTGAAAATTTGTTTAGTTTTAAATGAAGTTATGCGAAAGAACGATTGAAATGAGATTACGAAAAGAAATTTAAATTATTAATAATTAGTTTGATTTTATGATTGAGAGCTGGACTATGGAAGTAATATATCTATTACGATGTGTGATTGAGAGGTATAAGAAAAATCAATAAGATTTGTATTTGATTTTTATTGATTTGAAAAAGACAAATAATTGAGTGCTTAAAGATTTTTGTATAAAACTCTAGAAAATAAAGGATTTAGAATTACCTATATTTGAACTATCTAAAATATATATGAGGGAATAGTGTATTTGATTTTTATTGATTTGAAAAGGACATATAATTGAGTGCTTAAAGATTTTTGTATAAAACTCTAGAAAATAAAGGACTTAGAATTACCTATATTTGAACTATCCAAAATATATATATATTTATATATATGAGGGGATAACGACTAGCGTTCAGACACATGGTGGAGAGACGAACCATTTCCCATTACAATAGGATTGAATCAAGATTTAACTCTAAAACCTTATCTTTTTAATTTAATTTTGGAAGTACTCATGGAACACATCCAAGAATTAGCACTGAGATGTATGCTTTTTGTAAATGATATTTTTCTACTTGAAGAGTCGAAGACAAATTTAAATGAGAGGTTGTAAACTTGGAGACGAGTCTTAGAAATACAAGGTGTTTCCCTAAGCAAAAGTAAAACAAAATATATGTAATGTAGTTTTAACAAAATGAGAAGTGTTTTTAACCTAAAGGTTAAAGTTCGAGACCATATGATACCACGAGTCACACAGTTTAAGTATATTGGGTTTATATTACAAAATAATGGAAAATTAGAAGGGGATGTAAACCACTGAATTTCAGGTGGGTGGTTGAAATAAAGGAGAGTTTCAAGAGTCTTATGTGACATAAGAGTACCACTAAAGCTAAAGAAAAAAAATTATTGGACATTGATAAGACTTGTGATGTTTTACAAGACAAAATATTGAGTGGTTAAGAATCAACACGAAAATAAAATTAGTGGCAGAGATTATGATGTTGCGTTGGATGTATGGTAATATTAGATGAGATAATATTATAAATGACAATATTAGAGAGAGTATTAGAGTATCACTTATAGTAGAACAAATGGTGGGAATAGACTTAAGTGGGTTCAATATGAAGAGAGAAAATATTTAGATTTTGTTGTAAGTAGAGTAGTGAATTTTCTCTAGCTCCTAGAGTTTACCTGCTTATCGTTTTTTGCTTGTCAATTTGGTTTTGATTTATTTTGTCGTAATTGAGTCTCCTCACGTAGTTGGACATTTTAGGATTGAGTGTTTAATCATTTTGCGCTTGCATAAATCAAACTCTTTGATTAAGGTCAACACAATATATTTATAGTCAAATAGTCAAAGGTTTGAATCAAGAAACACATTTGAGAATAGTTTAAGTCTTTCCATGTCTCAATTCATAATAACACATCATTTTTGTGAAAATTTGAAAATATTAAAGTGTGATTCGAATCATAAGTATGAATGACTCAAATCAAACTAATTGTTAAAAACCAGGATTTTATTCTTGTGAGTCTAACTCAAATCACATGATTGTCTAACTTGAATCAAACATAGTTCTAATAAATAGGATTTTGCTTCTCTGAATTGATTCTAATCACACCAAAGCATGAATGGAATCAAAGAGGTTTGATTCATATCATAAAGATGCTTGACTTGAATCAAAGTTTGGCAGTATATTTTGAATTTTGGTTATGTAATCTTGATTCGAATTGCAAATCTAGTTTATTAGAATCACATGAGTTGACTCATAAAATGGTTTATTTGAATCATAGGTGCAATTTTTCTTGGTTCTTGATTCAAATCACTCAATCCCTTGACTCAGATTATAATCTTTGCTTGTGACTCGAACCAAATGGACTTTTCTCTCAATTATTGTGCCTTATCTCTAACACATATATAAATCATTTTTTCAAATCCCTCTCATAACATCTCTATCATTTAGAACTCAATGTACATATTTTATTTCAAACTTTCAAAAAGGGTTTTGAATTTTTTTAGTTTCCAACCGAAGTTTGTCCTCATCTTCAACCTCTTGCAGTTGCCATTGTTGTTTGGTTTAGTTTTCATATTAGGATGGGAGATTTGTGTGAGAAGAATGTTTTAAGATTTCAGGGGTTGACATTTTTGGGTGGTGTTGTGGCAGGATTGACAATCCAACACAAAAAGAAATAGGTTCTTAGGACTACTTTGGTAGAGTTGTGCGGAAGATGCTACAAGCAATATTGTAGTGTTTATCATCTTTAGACACTTCAAGGCTCGAAGAACCAATAAGGCTGAGTACAGGTCGCTATAGAACGTAAGCTTGAAGCAACATTCTTGAAACTGGAAGATTGAAGTCGAAGTCTAGTAAAGATTTCACAAGAACTCAATGTCAGAAGTCGCGTACAACCAAAAAGGATCCAGATTGAATATCTTTATGTTCAACACTATCCTGAATTGTAACTGTACTAAATGAGTCTGTGTAATATTTCAGAATCATACTGGAAGATCAAAATATTTTAATGAAAAACCATTGGAGAGTGGAGTACACATAAGCAAGTACAAATTGCCGAACCACCATAAATATGGTGTATTAACTCTCTCTCTCTCTCTCTCTCTCTCTCTCTCTCTCTCTCTCTCTCTCTCTCTCTCTCTCTCTCTCTCTCTCTCTCTCTCTCTCTCTCTCTCTCTCTCTCTCTCTCTCTCTCTCTCTCTCTCTCTCTCTCTCTCTCTCTCTCTTATTTAGGATTACATGATTAGGTTTAAGTTTTTTCTTAGAACTAGTGGGATACCCGTGCGTATGCACGGGTACTGGTGTGATACACGCATTTGTCACCAGAGGTACTATGGAATTTTTAAAGAACATCAAATGAAAGCATTATCAAAGAAAACATGTATTATGAAATGCATATATGGTATAAAACATTATTTCAAAAATGAAATATTAAATAAAGGAAAAAATAAAAATAAATTTATATAAATGATATTGTTAAAAAGTATATGTTAAATTAGTTTATTGAAAAAAAATAATATTTAAAAAAAATTACAAAAAAATAAATAAATTACATAAAATGTGTTTTTATTAAAGATTAGTTAAGGAAATAATTTTAGTGATGATAAAATATTAATGAAATAATTTAAATGGGTATTTTATAAAACCAATTATGACTATTGAAATTCCAAAACTTAATATTTAATGTATTGAACTTATAAAATTTAAAACATAAAAAAAGTATTGTCAACATGCCCATATCATGTCATGCTATATACTGGAAAAGTTCACATACGTTACACTCTTGACATTCCATTCCTCGTCTTCTTAAACCAACAGTCACAATTACCTATCAGTTCTTTGTCTTTCCAAAAAATGAGTAACGAAAAGCCAAGTTCATCAGTTGGGAGGTTGTTTTGAGTCATTGTCGATGGAGTTTTTCTTTGCTTGTTGATTTATAGTTTCTTTTGCATGTTGCTTCTTAGCTTTGCGGGTTGATTTCTTCATAATAATAAGCCATCAGTTTTTCAAGTTGAATTAGGTTTTCTCAGTTTTGCATGTTGATTTACCCATTGTTTTGATTGTTGTTTTGATTTTCCAGATCCTTCCGACATGGAAAAAGACACCCCATGGAGAAGATTAATAATATATCTTGATTATTTATAGTATGAGGAGAACCATGAGTCGAAAAAGATTAAGAAGAGAGAATGATGAATTGAAGAAGTCGATGTTGGTAAAGGGAAAGGTAAAGTCACAAATTCATCACTCGGTGTAGCGAGGGAGAAATATACTATTGTGGGAATGCACGCACCAACGACTGATGAAGACAGTGGAAAAGGAAAAAATCATGAAATCTGTCAATGTTGTTGGTGCGGTATCAAAACCTAATGTTGAAAATAAATAGTTTGATGGACAAATAAGGAAAAGGTCTTGGTCTCCAAGTCCTTCAGATATCTCAATATCATCAGACATTTTGAGGTATAACCTACATTATTATGATGTAATATCTACATAATTATTAGAAGTAAACCAAATCAAATTGTTGTTTTTAAGTAGATTAAAAGATATAGATTTATGCCATGCATGCCTGTTAGCTAAAGTTGTATTTGTTATGTGTATTGTGGACGTAGTTATGTAGATAGTAGTTCATTAGATAATGACAATGTTGAGTATGAGGAATTTGAGTCCGAAGAGTGCATTTGGGAGAGGATAGTAAAATCAGGGAATGTTATTAAGAGAAACATGTTAGTTAGTTGTATAGTATATAATAACAATGATTATTATTAGTTTGTAGTATGTGACTGTAATTGATGAAATAGTTTAAACGTGCATCAAATTCCTCGTGAAGTGATTAGGACGTCTTTGTCAAGGCCTCAAAGCTCGACGGAGCTACTTGATATTGACACCAGAGTTTCGTACCAGTGCCAGTTAAAAGAAAGGAGCGATGGGGAGGAAAAGTATGTTGCTAACGGGTGGTATGACTTTGCTCATAAAATGGATGATTTAAATCATAGGTGAAATTTTTCTTGGTTCATGGTTATTTGTTCTTGATACAAATCATTCACTCCCTTGACTCAACTCATAACCTTTGCTTGTGACTTGAATCAAATGGTTTTTTCCTCTCATTTTTGCGCCTTATCTCTAACACATATATAAATCAATTTTCCAAATCCCCATTGATCAGTGCATTTTAATGCACCTTCCTCTATGTTTATACTTAAGCATTTATATAGTTTAGTATGCTTAATTTCCTACTTTATGATGTTTT